ATCTGGACAGCTGCAATTTATTCCAGCTTACCCAATATTTGTTCTTGGAATTCAAGTTAAAACAAAGCAAAACAAGTTCAAATTCATGACAGGTATAGAGATGAGAACTGATTAATCGATTAACATCCCAGAAACAGACTACAAGGAGGGGACAATAAATTAAGGCAGAGGACATCATTTTCAACCCGATTCCCTGAGCGTCCTTTACAAAAATCATTACCCTAATCAGAGCCACAATCCATCCATCCCAGAGAAAAATACCTACATTATTATTATTACTGGTTAACAGCAACAAGTCATTTGATCATATCACAGTGCAAAACGAGATCCTATATAATTACACTTAACTTTGAAAACACTCCCCCCTTTGAAAATCATACACATATTTATATATAATCTATGAATCAGAAGACAAATAAAACAAGAGCTGTTCTTCACCACGCAAAAGCCAAGCGGAGATTTACCTCAGCAGTGCATGCAGTAAAATAATCCCATCACCCTTTTGTTTGTGTTTACTGTTAATGTGTCCTCTGTCTTTCTTTCTTTCCTGTGCCTAACGTGTGTTTGTGCACTGCAGTTGGTGGTGGAAACTAAGGCAGTGGATCTGTAGCTAAGGGTAATCCTGTTTTTACTTCCTCCATCTTCAGCGAGGAGCAGGGTTAGCCCGGGACAGCTGGTCAAACCCCGAGAAACCGATCCGGTGGAGCCCGAGCACATCTCCCCCGCCGGCCGGGCTCGCGCAGACGCCCGCGGGCGGAGGGCGGGCTGGTGGCGGCTGCGGCGGTGGCGGCGGCGGCGGCGGCGGCGGCGGGTGGCGGGCGGCGGGCGGCGGAGCCCGGGGCGCGGGCGAGCGGACGTGCGTGCGCGCGCGTGCGTGTGTGTGTGTGCAGGGCCCGAGCGCCTGTGCGGGTGTGTATGAGAGCGCGTGTGTGTGCGCGCGCGCGGGCTGGCGGGCGCGTGTGCGCGTGTCTGCGCGCTCAGCCGCTCGGCGCGCTCGGCAATCGATTACAGGACAAGTGCTGCCCCGGCTGCTTCGCGACGGGCGCAATCTCTCGCGCCCATCCGTGCGCCCGGCCGCGTCGCCCCCGGTCCGTAGGTCCCCGGACGGCGGACCCACCTCTGACGGGGGCCCAGGTAACCCGCTTCCCGAGTGTGCCACGACGACCCCCAACCCCTCTTCCCTTGTCATAATAAATCTCACGTTTTCTGCTGGCAGGAAAGGAAGGCTTGGAACGGTGAGGGCACGTTCATTTCGGCCGCGTGAAGTTTTCTTTCAAACTGGGGATTGGTGGGGGAGGCCGGGAGAAGGAAGCGGGACGGCGATCCTGGCGCTCTGCGCGGAGTCTGGGAACCCCGTCCGGGCCGGAGTCGGGGAGTGTGCGTGGAGCCCTCTCACTCACTGGGCTCCGCTGGTAACTCTGCGGCCCCATTTCGGAAAACGCACGGCATAGACCGGGACACCAGGCGGGTTAAGAGGGGTCCTCGATAATAGACAGAAAGACGTTCAGGTCTGAGGTGAAGCTCAACTGTTACTATTTTGAAAGTGCTTTAACAGTGCAATTTAAAATTAAAGTATTTACTTGCTTCCCCCCCCCCCCCGGGGCATGTGCCACGTCCCCCAAAATCAAAGGAACAGGTGAGGGTCCAAAAAGTTGCTACCCTTGAAGTGTTGCCTATCACTATCAATCACAGCTGCTTTATTTGGAAAGACCTTAGGTGAACCGTCAAGAGAAAAACAAATGCATATTCTTTCTACAAATAGCATTTAGTATCTTTCTTGACCACATTTGTAAAAAGAGGGAATAGAGACTTCTATAATTAAAGGGAAAAGGAAAATGAAAGGAGCTGAAAATAGTGAACAGTGTAGTCTGGGTGGCTTAAGTTTGAAAACACATGAAATTATCAGGGCTGCCAAACGGCGTTTCTGAGAAACCATATCACAGATTGTGAAGAAAATCAATGCTGGAAGAGAAGGAACAGGCACCATTCTCCTCCTCCTTTGAAAAATCCCAGAAATAGTTGCTGAGGTTTTTTTCTGCTGAGAAACAATATATTGAAAAATCATCAAGAGTACCTTAAGCACCACTCTGTAGGTAATTTTGGATAGTGTGTTTTCTTTACATGTTGACGTAGGGAAGGAATTTATTCACATCGACACTAAATAATGAATACCATATAACTTGTGTGATACTGTAGCTTTTATAATGAATTACTTCTTAAAGTTTTTCCCATGCAGTGTGTTATTAAACAATTGTAACGATAGTCTCTTCTTGTTTAACCATAGAAAATGGTAGTTAGTGTGACACAGCAAACAAGATTAACAAATTTTCATTGAAAAGAAATTATTTGGGCTCAGGCTTACAATATCATTTGCTGATTTTAAGAAAAATCTGCCGTTCCTGTGAGTTATATGTTGGCAAAGCAAATATTTAACGGGTTGCCAATTATCTAACTAAAATTAGTTGGGAAAGTCTGAAAGTCTGAATAGAGAGCCAGTATGTCATTCTAATCATCCCAAAAGATAGCAAATATTTTAGTCTTACATTACCTCAGAAAATCTATATGTTGTTTAAATTTCTAAATGCCCAATATATTATGGATAACATAACTTTTATAAATTGTAAAACTCAGCCTAAGTGTTTAGGAATCTGTAGAGTTATAGAAATCCTTGAAAATATGAAATAAAGATAATCGAAATTAAGATGAAATGTCTTTGATAGATTACACAATTTAATTATTTGGTAAAAGAGGATCCATTGTGAAATCTAAAAGATACATTTTCAGGTACCCCAAAGTTACCAAGTTGATGTAGTCCTTGCCCTTGGTTTATTAGAGCTTAATTTCGCTTCCTTGAAGGCTGTCCTTTTCAAGAGGTAACGTTCATTGCCTCCCTAGTCACCAGAGGCACACTTCCTCCCTCTAGTGGCTAAGCCTTCGGACACTTTACATTCTGTCACCCTGCCTCCCCATGAATCCCAGATTTTGGAATAACAAAGATCTCATGAACACCTGGGAGAATCAGACCATCTTGGCAAATGTTTCCCTCTTTTTAACATCCTGCATTCCTTTCTTATTTGCAGATTATGGTGTATCTAACTCATCCAGAGAAATCAAGATTACATTTTCATACCAAGATTGGGGGGTTTTATCTCATGTCTATGGAGTCTGTAGTCCTAAGATTCACAATGCATTCCACTCATGGGAAAGAACCCTTGTATAAACTGTAGTAATTCACTTTGTTCAGAATTTCTCTGGGTAGTTTTGTGGTTTTGTTGAGATGGAGTCTCACTCTGTCACCAGGCTGGAGTGTAGTGATGCGATCTCTGCAATCTCCACCTCCCAGGGTGAAGGGATTTACCTGCCTTAGCCTCCTCAGTAGCTGGGACTATAAGCACTCGCCACCATGCCTGGCTAGTTTTTGTACTTAAAAAAAAAAAAAAGGAATCTCGCTCTATTGCCCAGGCTGGAGTGCAATGGTGCCATCTCGGTTCACTGCAACCTCCACTTCCGGGGTTCATGTGATTCTCCTGCCCCAGTCTCCTGGGTAGCTGGGATCACAGGCACCTGCCACCACACCCGGCCTAATTTTTGTATTTTTAGTAGAGGGATTTCAATGGCCAGGCTGCTCTCAAACTCCTGACCTCAGGTGGTCTGCTTGCCTGGGCTTCCCAAATTGCTGCCATTACAGGCGTGAGCCACCGAGCCTGACCTCTCTGGGTAGTATTTTGATAGTAGAGGGTGCATTTATTTCTGGTCTTTGCCAGAAGACATAGACTGTACACATTTTTTAAAAGTATGTATATAACTATACTGTGCATTAAAATATACCACCAGGGCAGTGGAGTACCACGTTCTTTGGCCACTGTATCCAGTTGGAGAGTTAAGTTTTTATTATAGGGAAGAAGTGATGCGGTGGGGAGGAAACGCACCCTCAACCCTTATTTTTCATGTAGCTGGTTCTTTCTGATTGTCCCATCCTACCCAAACTGTTCTTTCCTACACCAACTCCTATCATAGCACCTTGAATATTTCCTTCATAACATATTTTGTAAATATTTTATTAATGTGTTGAGTTTTAAAGTAAAATCTGTCTTTCCCACTGGGATATGATCTTTTGAAGGGCAGTGATTATGTCCTGTTAATCATTGTTTTCTCAGAAGTAGCACAGTATTTGTCACAAGTTGGTACTCAATAAACATTTATTAAATGAATGAATATGGAGGGAATTATATACTCAGCTAGCTTTCATGTATTAAACTCTTTTCAAAGTAGAAAGGACAGAAAAGGTCGGATTTCAAAGATACATGCTGATTTAATAAAGAATTTGGTCAAATCTTGGCTTATAAGTCATATTAGAAATTTCCTTAACAGGTCAGCTTTATCTTGCAAGCCATGCAAACAGTCTGAACCTCTTGGTAAATAACAGTTATATTAGCAAAATGTACATAAAATAAAATTTTATGAAAATTAAAAATAAAATTATATATAATAAATATGTTTAAAGTTCATATGTTAATTTTGCAAATATAAAAATGAAAATTGGCTAAAATTGTATATAAAAATGCAATTTGGAATAAAATGCACTTACGTGATCCTTCTGTTTCAAAAACAAATTATTTCCTGTTGCTCCCTGACAATTCATGAATCAGGGTGACTATCAATAAATAAAATAGGTTTAATTTTGTAATCACTAAGTGTGATCAGCAAAAGAAAAGTTTTGCTAGGCAATGTAGCTAAAAGGTACATTATGGAGTATTGGTTTTGTTTTCTTTGAGTAGTTTGTTTTATCTATTTTAGATTTGAAAGCCCTAAGAACCCTTTTAAGGAATTTGGATAAAATCACCTTTTGTTTGCTCAAGGAATTCACTCTGTGTTTTTAAGTTTTAGTTTTGTTTTTAGCAGAAGGTGGTAGGGGACAATTTGGAAAATTGTAGTTCTTTCCTAAAATCAAAGAAATTTTTGGACACAAATTCTATATTAATTTTTTATTTAAATGGCTTTATTGTGCTAGAAATAAAACATAATCACCCAGAGTAGTTACCCTAAAATAACTTGAATCCCTGAAAAAGTTAAGATTAACAGGCGCATATAAGCATAATGTTTTAAAACTGATAACTTGTTTTATTTTTGTCAGGTGATGTTGTTCTTGTCTTTGAAGTAGTGTTCTTTTTAAGCGGGATATGGAACAATGGTCTCACTTACTCCTGTTGACCTAGATTGGCACTATGAAGAAGCAAGAAAACCAAAAATGGAACTGCCTTTTCAAAGAAAATATACTAAGATACCAAATCCAGTTCATAAGTTAAGCATATAAATACTGTCAAACTTTACTTCCCTGAGTACACTGGTAGTCTGGGGTCTATTCAATTGGCCTATAAGTCCCACAGGGTGAGGGTCTTCTAATTCCAACTACCTTAAACAATAGTTTCTTTTAACAGTTCTTAAGAGTATCACTTTGAAATTAGAGAAAAGGTTCTTGTGCAACCCATGTCCCTAAAAAAGGTAACATTATGACTTAAATTCACACGTTGATAGAATACTATCAGATTTCTTCCAGAGAGCATGTTTTGTTGTAGAGCAGGTGATAAGCTATCTCTGTCACAAATGAGAATTATAAATTACAGGAGTTAAACCAATGGGGTGAGGACCGGAGAGGTTCCTGCATAAAATGAAAGCACACATTTTTAAAGGTGTCATTAAAATCCATCATTATTGCTTTCAAAATGCAGATGTGTTCAGCATTTGATGAAATGAGTTTCATTAATGCAAAAATGAGAGAACTTTGAGCTGAGTCAAGTGGTGATGGTTAAATCAACTCTAAAAGAGATTGGGAAGACCATTCTTCTAAGAAACCCAAAAATTTTCGAGCACAAAAAGTACAGAGAAGTTATTAGAATCCTCAATAAAGTGTTAATTCAAGAAATGAAAAAGATACGATTCAACTTTGTGAAAACATAACTTACCAAAAGAGGATAACAAAGGAGAAGATGCCTAGTGAGCATTAATTTAGATACAGGGCAAAAAACACTCTCTATAATTTGGAATATTTTTCAGCAGTGACATGCAAGAGATTAAAAAGAAACTTATTTTGCTGGAGACCAGAAGGAAAACCAAACATAATCATTTGACTTTGGAATTGGGAGGTGAAAATAGGACAGACTAGCCTAAAGATCTGTGCTATCAAAGGTTGGATTTTGCAAGAGAGATCCATACTCTAAAGCAGAGTGATGACAGGTTGCATCTCAAGGGAAACATTTGGTGGTTAAACTAGTGCCAACAGCAGTATGATACTGTCTTTTTGATCCTGTGAAAAGCTTGTGGAAGTACGTACCCAGTGAAAAGCTTGTGGAAGTACGTACCCAGCGTTTGTGAGAAGCTTCAACTCTTCATAAACCAAAACTCTTTCACAGTAAAGCAAAGTCTAATCACTTGCTTAAACAATCCTGTATAGACTGAAAAAAAAAAATAGAGAAGCACATTACCAACAGATAGTAAAGGAAATAATCCAGGGACTTCCCCATTTTTATAGCCCGATGGTTACAACCTAGGGAATTGAGAACCATATAGGGATAGAACTGGGGAGCCATTTTCTGTTTTATAACTCTGAACGAGGGTGTATGCTATGGAAAAAGGAATTGAATCAAAGAAAGGTCATTTACAAGTAGTAACGTCAAATGTCACCTCCCCCAAATTTCATGACTGTGGTTTAGAAAAAGGTTAGCTTAATATAGAACTTAGTGTGGCATTCTGAACTGTCTCAAGACTTGATAGATGAAGAAGAGACTAACGCCATCAGTGTATCTCCCCCAGCAGCTGTGCTGAAACTTCTCAAAAGTATTTAAAACTTGACGTCATGGTGAGGTACTGGACACCTGGAAAAGTCCTACTCAGTAGACTAAGAATATCTCTAAGTCCTATAAACTATATCGCAGAAATGGCCACTTTGGAAGACTGTATTTTTGAAGTGTACTGTTATTGAGAAATCCATATGAAGAATCGATAGCATTTTGAATTGTTGATATAACTGATTTCAATGAAGCTGGAGTATCAGGGGACTAGGAAATCACATATACGATTTTTATAATTATGTGCATTTATTTTGTGCCAGGTACCATGGTAAGCATGTCACATGAATTAACTCATTTAACACCCACTGTCATTTTAAGAGGGGTAATATTATCCCCATTTTTCCCATTAAGAAACTGAAGCTTAAAGATGGTATTACCTTGTCTCTGGTCCCACAGCGTCAGAGCTAGACAGTGTCAAATTCATGTTTTAAGTTCTAGAAAGCCCATATTCATAACCATCATACTATAGTCTCTCTAAATTGCCAATTACTTTCATCAATCATGCAGACCTCTTACTGTAGTTAAATCCAGTCTTATGAGTAATACACTGTCCATTGTTGAATCTCTTGAAAGAATACTGAATGTCCAGGATGTTTTTAGAAGGCTTAAAGAATATGGTATCAACATAGAACTTTTTGTCAAACCCAATATTTATCTATGTGTAAAACATTACCTATTTGGCATTTAGTATATTAATATCAGATATTTATTAATATCTACTTTGAGCTGTTCTGAATAAGTGAATGACATAAGAGAATCACTGGGAGTGAATCGAAAGAAAGCTACCTTATAAAGAATTGAGTAACAATCAGTGGTGACAAAGAGATCCAGATAAGAACATAACTTTAAAGTCTGGGTCACCACGCATATTTGCACATTTTATTTCAAAGGAGATCATTTCGGATTTATTACTCGCAGAAACATATGGATCATACTTCTTCTTTGTGTAGACATACTTCATCTACATGTATAAATAATGAATGCATGGCTTTCTGTGATAAACACTAATTTTAAATGGTTATGGCATTCTTAAATGGTATTTTGTACTTCTCAGGAAACATTTTTTTTCCCCCAGTGGAGAGCAGCTCTCAGTTTATAGTAAAAGTCAAGTTGAACATTTTGCTAGGGACTATTACATGAAGCATGTGAGATTAGAATGTGTTTCTCATTTTTAATATATAAATACAGTTAATACTGGAGTAGAGAAACATAACTAATATTTTAGAGTTTTCTATCTCATGCGTGTAGAAGTTATATATTTGCTCTCTCATATAACAGGTTATTTTTCCTAAAAATAAGAAGTAATGCTTTTATTTGATAACAAAGATACTATTTATTTGAAAAGCCAATCAGTGATTTTGGGGGAACTCTGCTTAAGGACATTTTGGATAATCTATCCTAACCCAGAAGAGCTTCCTAAAACATTAGGTAGTAGCCAACAACTAAAATGAATGTGTATCTGATATATTGAAAATACATTGTTAAAAAAAAAGAAAATATTGTTTAACATTTTTCCATATTTATGTTAGAAAATGAATGTTTGACATCAGACCGACTGAATATTTAAAAAGAAATGATGTTTCATCACAACATAATATGGATGACAGAGGAGTACCTTGCCCCCATGTCTTTGGAAATGTTGCCTTCAGAGGTCATTCCTGATGTAGGGGGACACTGCCGGCTGTCAGGCCTGGTGCCATTATGCAGTCTACCATACATAAAACTCATTGATCAGTTCTAAACCCAACATTAGCAACTTTCTGGTATTTTCACTCTCTCTGTGATTTTCCTGTGTGTGGGGAATATACATGATCATTATATTTTTCTTAAAAATAAATGATATTTCTGGGTTTTTTACACCTATTATGAGTTTAGAAATGTATGGTTTTCCTTTCTAAGAGCAGTACAGTAGTGCTTCTGTAAACTTGAGTTTAAGGCTAATGACTAGTCCCTTGAAAGTGGAGCTCACTAAGGCCATGCCATTCAGCACTGTTCCTGTCACTTGACTAGACTTCTCTCCTGATCCTTGAGAATATCATGGCCACCATCTTTCTGCCTGCTTTAGAATGTCAGCGGATTCATAAGCAAGCCAGCCTACTTAAGTTGATTCATGAGTATTTTTGAGACAGCCTGTCTACTTGGAGCTCCTCAGAGATCTGAGAAGAAACCCAAAAGATCTAAGAATGGAAAAAGGAGAGATTAACATCAGCAAATTCTGCCTGTAATAATGACAGCAGAGTTGTTGAGAAACGAATAAGTGAGGGAATGGAGGCTGTCATATAGATGATAATTTCAAAAAGCGTTGCTATAAAACGAAAGGTAGAAGCTAGTAGCTATAGGAAGATGTGGGATTGAGGGAAGTTTCTTGTTTGTTTTGTTTTGTCTTTTAAGTAATACCTTTACATATCTCAGTGCTAATGAGAAAATTGGTAAAGTGGGGTCCCTGAGGGAATAGAAAAGAAAAGGATCTTTTGCACAGTTATCATGAGTAGCTTCAGCTAGAAGAGGACATACCTCATGTACTTAGTATAAGTAAGAAAGGAAAGTTGAATATGCAAGTAATTTTGTAAGTCGTCATGATGGGAACTTGAGGAAAGGTTTGAAGAAAGTATCAATGTTATTTATTAAGGTTGAAAAAAAAAGCCACTTGATTGAAAATTTAGGAAGAGGCAATAAATTTGAAATATTTGCATATATAAAGAAAGTGAGAGAGGCTAACTGAAAAAAAATGTAGAAAAATAGGCAAGCCTCATAGAGGACCCAGTTGAGGCTGGTGACTACAAATAAACCATCAATAGGCTCAATGCTATAACTGTAGCTGGGCTCACAGCCCAGATATAATCTTGAAAAGAATGAACCATAGGATTGATCCAGTGTAAAAAATTTCACTGGTTGCAGAGATGGAAGACATTGAGTCAAAGAAGTTGAGCTTGACTTAAAGAAATGAATTGGAGTAATAGATCATCAAGTAAGTTATACAAAGGATACCAACAGAGAGAATACTGACAGATAGAAGTAAAGGGATACAGAGACTTTGATTGGGTCCCAGTGAGGTTAAATAATTTGCATAAGGGAATAGTGAGAGATAGGAAGGTATGGAAGATTGTGAACAGAAATTTCTGATGGACAACAAGTTGCCGGAATCCAGAATGGAGGTTGAGAAGTCATGGCCCCTAGGGGATGGAATATCAGAAACATGAAAGGATAGTCAAGAGATGTAGCTCTTGGGGAAGAAAGGGAGCTATTGAATTAGATACTAAAGTCTATGAAGAATGAATCCCTGGAAAACTGATAAATGAAAGCAAGGAGGAAGAATTGTGAGGTGGTAGCCGGAAAGAATGAGCATCAGAGGAACTGGAGTTTTACTTTTAAGTGTGTATGTTCTGAAAATCTCTTTGGACTATATAGGGGATGTGCTGACTCCATAGTCTCAACTTGAGCAAGATGAGTCCATTGGGGGGAATAGGGGAGGGACAGTGGGGGTGTGGGGGAGCTGGGGAGGGATAGCATGGGGAGAAATGCTAGATGTGGGTGAAGGGGAGAAAGGCAGCAAATCACACTGCCACATGTGTACCTATGCAATTATCATGCATGTTCCGCACATGTACCCCAAAATATAAAATGCAATAAAAAAATAGGACATTTCTCAGGGTTTGGCTATAGTTTTCTAAGGATGTTTTTAGAGGAGTATATGCTTTCTTGCTGTAACTCCTTTTATGTTGAGCCCACACTAGTGCAACAATATTTCCCTCTTTATTTTACATTAGTCAAGTTTACAAATTATTCACGGTTTTCGTACATGCAGTGTGTGTGTGTGTGTGTGTGTGTGTGTGTGTGTCTCTGTGGATCATGATAATATTGTATGCATGCCTTAGCATTTTTATATTAGTAGTTTAACAACTTACAAAATTTTCTATGTCAATATGAATATTAATAAATGTGATTTTTTAAATGATTCTATTATATTTCATCATACAACATCACTACATAAACAGGCTCCAAATGTTACAAATTTAAGTTACCAATTTTGTCATCATAATAAAAGTGACCACCTAGGTAATGGAAAAAAAAAAGTAAAGAAAAGAAAATGAAAAGGCTTCACTTGAGAGGACTATGGGTAAATTGACCGTATGAGCTGGTTTGCCAAGAACGGTCTCAATTTACACCTATAGTCCTGGCATAATTGTTAATAGCACCATCTTTTATTCTTTAGTGTCCTGGTTTCTATGTCACATTACATATTCATCCTAGGTGAGAGGGAATAATGGCCTCAAAGAAGACCTCTTTCATTTAGGCAATGCTGTGTTTATGGTTTTGTGTGTGTGTGTCGTCGTTGTTTTTGTTTTTGAGACAGAGTCTGACTTTGCCACCCAGGTGGAGTGCAAGTGGTGCAATCTTGGCTCACTGCAACCTCTGCCTCCCGGGTTCAAGCAATTCTTCTGTCTCAGCCTCCCAAGTACCTGGTATTACAGGCATGCACCACCACGCCCAGCTAATTTTTGTAATTTTTGTGGAAACAGGGTTTCACCATATTGGCCAGGCTGGTCTCGAACTCCTGACCTCAAGTGATCCACCTTTCTCAGACTCCCAAAGTGCTAGGATTA